TGCCAAGGGTGCTGAGAGGTTTATCAGCCATGTATAGTCCTTTTCTATGTTGCTTGTCGCCAGATTTTACTCAATATCACATATTGCAAATGTGCATCATGTCTTTGGAGATCCCTTCACTAGCACGAGGAAATTAACAGAAATCCACGGATGCAGTAAATGCAAGGAAAGCATCAGGTACACTAAGACAGCGTGAACTACTAATTGGCACTCGCGCTACGCCACTCTGATGAAGCCATACGTTAATTATGCATAACTGTGCTAGACCTTCTATTCCTAGAGTGGCCAGCCCCAATTTTTGCAGAGTTCATTTTGCTGAGTTCGGAAAAAAGTCCCTGATAAAAGCAAGCCAAGACAGTATCTTCCGCACCACGTTTAAAAATTTGTATTCCAAGTACAAAAAAATTTCTATTTCCAACACGGGAACAACAATAAGTATGACGACAATACGTCGGTTTGATCAAAACTCTGTAAAGCGTGGGCAACGCACAAATCGCTCAAGCAGACTTGAAATATGCAAAATATTAAAGAAACAGCACAGGTTCCAACTTAAACAGTATAAAACTCTCGGTCTAAGAAGCAAATAAATTGATCAGAGGACCTCTAAACATGGAAAATAAACTGGGGGCTCAAGCACAATTCAGCAAGAAAAAGGCCCCATATAGTTGAACAAAAGGATCATGGTGCTCCTTCCTTGTGAAGACTGTAACACTTTCTATTTAACAGCGAACAGAAAACCTACACCAGATGATTGTTGGCCATTTGGCGAGAAAGATGAATTGGTAGAAGCCAACCAGAGAGCCAATATGAAGAGCCGTAAATAGTGCAACGTTGCGCCAAACGATCACTCTTTTGAATGGAACCTAAAAAAACACATAACGCGGTCAAGTTTTGAATTTCTGAAGTGTTTCAAATTTCACAGCTTACAGTGTACTGTTCGAAACATTTACCGAGAAAGATTTGACTTGATGCAAGAACTGCGTACTTGAGACTGATCTCCGTTCCCTCTTCCCCCCCTCCCCCAAGCGAAAGCCACTTAGGTCTTAACCCTACTGTCGGTAGTATCACAAAGTTGAATCGTATTTTTGCCAGCGCGGAAGCGTACGTGGATGAGCTGTGTCTGATAATGCCAGGAGTAAGCTGGAATTACT